AATTGCGTCCGGACAGTTTATTACGGCGAGTGGAACAAAAATAACAAGTCCGCAATTAACATGGATATATAAATTATGCAAAAATAGAAAAGAGTGAACTTTGAGGTCATGCTGTGCGACTTTGAAAGTCGTTAGAGAGATGAGTGGACGCATTTGAATTAGTAGTATACCAAGGTATCCAGTGATGTAATTTTACCCACAAATGGACTTCAAGTTTTTAAGCTAATTTTTTTTAACCACTTTTGTCCAAAAAAGCATATTTTTGACCCAAAATCAAAAACGCATTCTGGATATTTAAAATAAAGACAAGTTTTACAAAGTTTGTATAATAAGCTTTCAGAAAATATATAACATGTTGGATATATAATACCATCTTCATTGTCTAATTACTCAATTAAAAAGCAAGCCAAATAAACTGCATCTCTACCTTAAACCAAAGCGTGTACATATATGTATGTATATACAAAGCAGAATTTGATAAGACTGTCAACCAAGCTGCTCTCTGATTGGTTTGTTAGTTAGGGTTGCCAATCAGATACAATCTTGCAAGTAGCTTTGAATAGAGCCCAATTATACATTGATTCACACTGAATTATAATCAGTTTTGAAGTTTATCCTTAGGTAGTTAGTGTACGAAATTGCTTTCCAATGCACGCAGTAGCACCATATTCAACACACACGCCCATCCATTTGTAGTCTACACATTGGAACCCAACATTAGTTTGCATTCACTCAAATATAAAGCATAACTACTAACCAGATGTTTTATTTGTGTAAATACAAAATAACTTTCTAAATACATGTACATTAACCTAACATGATTTCCCAATCTTTTAGGAAAATAGATAAACAAAAATTATTGTTGCTATGTCCAGATCATTTAAATTTCCATAGACATGTCAGGCTGACAGTCATGGTAAATTCACTTTGAAAAATGAGTACATCTGAACCATAACAAATAAATCTTAACTGTAATATGCTTTAATCTACAAAAAAAAATTTTCAGAAAATCATGACAAATAACTTGTGAATGTTTATGAATCAGCTAATTGCTAGTAACAAAATGTAAGCCTTTGAGTACACTTGAAAGCTAAGATTTTGAGAGCAGCTCAACTATATTTTGTTCTTTGTGAATACCAACCTTTTCTGGCCATTGAAATTGTTGTGATAACAAATATTTCTCATCCACATTGCCTCAATAGAATCCCACTGATTTCTGAACAATGTATGCTATTCAAGTTATGGCCGAATTTCAGACCACCCCTCAAGTGACAGCAACACCACAAACATGATTTTGTGATATTTTACCAGCAAAACAATTTTCAGATGGTAACAAAAATTTAAACTTAGGTAATCAAGGGAAATTGGTTATAGAATATGGAGGGCAAAACTTAATAACATGATTATTTGCCAGTCATCAAGATAAGTATAACTGTACACCCTCATACTACACCAATGTCGGAAATGTTAGCAATAAGTATTAAACCATGACCAGTCAAGGCAAGAGAAAACAGTGATCACGTACAGCAACTTAGCTGGTAAGCTTTGATTTTGATATGGAAATTTAAATGGCAAAAATTAAACAATTTTCTTAAAATATAAATAAAAATATTTCAAGTACAAAATAATAATTTAACAAAAGATGATCTACAAAACCTAAATACACAAGTTGTCTTCAGCGAAGTATATAACATTATATATGGAATAATCTAAAACCTATTTGTTATTGTAACTTATACAACTAATGGACATGGCTGCTCAACAGCCAATACAAAACAAGCCTATATGAGAGAATGGGACTTTTTATTGTGATAATTTGTTGTTGTGATTATGTCAACACCTGTAACAGGTGCGTTCACCAAGTGACACAAGAGGAAACCCGTTTGTAAAGCAAGTCTCTTGCATCGCTTTTCGTGTGACATATGCTTATGCTTCATTAGTCGCCATCTGCAAAGTCTTCTCTGAAAGTATTGTCTTCAGGCCGAGATGACAAAAATCTTTTGTGAACCTACAAGACAAGTTGCAAATAGAATAGCAAAGATTAGGTTTGTTAGCACTGTAATTGAGCAAAGTGGTAACATAGTCAAAAACTTGCAAGTTCAAAACGGATGACAAGTTAACCATGGTAGAATTATACTCAAAACACTGGTTGTCTCAGTGTGCCTTAATTTGAGCATCTGATACAGTAGCACAACCTGTAAAATGAACCCAATTGGTACATCCAGGTGTACAGTAGCACAACCTATCAAATGAACCCAATATATACATAGATCAAGGTATAAATATTAAGTTGTCAAAACCCTACCCCCCAATATAATTCAATATGCCCCTCCAAATAATTACAAGTGACCCAAAAGGAGGTATATGCAATTAACATGGAGAATGGGTACTGAAGGGGCTGGGTTAGGATTAGAGTTCTGGGTGAAGGGCCCCAAGGAACACTTGCCCAATGAGGTATCCAGTTTGCAAATGCTGAACTATAGTAACTTTATTAAACCATGCCAAGGGTATACTCACTTATCAATGACATCACCATCCATCTCAGCGAGACCTTGTTCTATCAATGTTTGAAATATTATTGAGCAATGTTTATCAGAGGGAATACCATTAAATAAGAGTATCTTCACTGGCTTACTTATATCCTAGTAAACAAAGTAGTAGGAAGAGGGAAGTTTTTACTATTTTGATTTAAATTCTAATTTTTAATATTTCCTCATTAAATTTATATGGACAGATTTTTACCAAATGCATTATAATCACATTTCCGCCATATGCCAAATTATGAAATTTCTACTATATTCCAAATAATTAAATTGTTATATGTCAAATAATGAAATTTCAACTAAATTCCAAATAATTAAAATATGTCAAATAATGAAATTTCAACTAAATTCCAAATATCTAAATTATCATATGTCAAATTTCTACACAAGCTTAACTAAAAACAACTAATGACATGTTTAACACATGCTGTGTAATTAAATTTCAAACAAATGAAAATATAACAATCTGAATCTCATGAGTAGGCAGTCCAGCAATTAAAATTTTTCAAATTATTAAGTAATCTATAATTACCTTGATAATACAAGCAGTTAATCTTTGGTCCACTACTAGTTTTGTCAACGCCAACATAGATCCTTCTGGCCAATCACTACCTGTCACTAATGTTACATCATCTGGGATCTTTCTAGGTGGTTTTAAACCAACCAAGTCGCACCGGACACCTTGTATTGGCAGAATTTTGAATTCTTCTGGTAACTCACGAAGCCTGAAAATAAATTGATTAATTTAATACAAATAAATTTAAAATGTAGAAACAAATTTGGATTTTTCTGACAACTCGCAAAGTCTGAAAATAATTTGTTTATAATATTTAAATGCGTTATAACATGGGTAGTCTGAATCTAGCAATCTGACTGGCTAAACCTACTCCAAATCTGAATAAACTGGCTTTAAATATCTAACAATCAAAGTTGTACGACTGTGAGCACTCTTCATAGTGATTGTGGGTGTATGATGATCAAAAACAGGGAAACCTAGTACAAGCAACTAAAAGGAACATGTGACGTCATCAACTGGCCAATCATCTGTTTCACTTATACTCTGTTATTATCTCCCTAAATATGCTAATTTTTCCTTGAGAGGTCTTGTATATCAAATACCAAATACCCTCGCTTGCTGTTTATATAGTCTGAATAACAATTAAATGTAGAAAATAATCTTCTATGGAACTCAAATACATTGCTTGCCACAGAGTTTAAAGATTTGTGCATGGGCTGTATGAAATTATTGAATGAAACATCAGAATTGGAGGAGCACACATGTTGAAGATGGAACTCTCATCAAAAACATGAACATTTAAAAAAAGAAGTTATTCCTTGAGTGGAAAAATTATTTTTTCAGAGAAAATACAATACCAAGTAACTCCAGTTAACTCATGAGAGTATACCACCAGTATTTGCACAAATGTCAAGTCATCTGTACTTGTTTAAAAGTATG